GGGCCGAGCGCGGCGGGGCCGCCCCCGGGGCTCGCCGGGCACCGCGCGGACCCCGCTCATCGTAACCCGCCGGGGCGGGAGGGCCGCGCTCCGGGCGGAAAATTGGGGCCGAAGCGGTAGAGCCGCTCGCCGGGAGCGCCTGTGCCGAGCGAGGGGAGCGCTTCTGAGGCACGCCGCCAACGGGACGGGCTTTCCAGCGAGGAATACCGAGGTAGGCTCATAATGCGGCGTTTTCGGGAAAAAAAGTAGGGTTTTGGTCACTTGCTGCGTGGGCCGTTGGGGACCGCGTGGGGTCGGGACCGGTGGAGGTGCCCGGTGCCGCTCCCGCCTCTTTCCAGCACGACTGGGAGCTGCGTGACCTCAAGGACCACACCAAATTCACAAAACCTTGTGCAATTCACAGAATTCACAAAACCTTGTGCAAGTCACAAATTTCACAAAATTTTGTGCAATTCACAGAATTCACAAAACCTTGTGCAAGTCACAAATTTCACAAAATTTTGTGCAATTCACAGAATTCACAAAACCTTGTGCAATTCACAAATTTCACAAAATTTTGTGCAATTCACAGAATTCGCAAAATTAAATTCACCCAAAAATCACACGCCAAAAAAAAGGTGAGATTTGCTAACTTCACAAAAACTCCTAAAGACGGAGGTATAATTTAAACAGGAGACACAATCATAGCAAGGAGTGGGGACATTCAAMGTATAACAGTGAAACAAAACTTTGCACCGCTCCTTGGAGCATCAGCCCAGAAACTGCTTTCTGTCTCCGCATTCACAGTAGGTTATTATTAGCAGCCTTGAAAAATTAATAGATGTTGCACGGTACTTAAGAAAAAAAAACAGCCTGTTTTCTTCTACTCACCCTTTTTTTTTTTTTTAATTTTCGCAGCACAGGCTGACAGCGAAATCATCAGGATTCCTGCATATGGCCCACTACAGATGGTAAGGAATTGTTTTATGGTAAAGACCGGGCGCAGTTTGGCAACACCGCTTTGTAACGCGGTTCTTTGCCCGCGCTTCGCGGGGCTGCTGTGTCCCGCTGCACCCAGCTGCTCTCGGGCTCTCCCAACGTCATCCAGCAGGACCACGTTCTCCAGCTGCAACGTTCTCCTTTCATTTTCCCGTTTGTAATGAGCCGCTGTGGAGAAAAATCGTATTTTTGTTTCTGAACAAAAATATGATCTTTGTGCTGACGGTTTGGAAGCAGCCGGGCAGCATTTCTGTAGGAGTAAACAGCCGTAGAACTGCGAATTGCTCTCTGCAGTTGCCAGGAAAATACTGTGGGTTTTTTTCTTGCTTTTTGGAGAAAGTTTACACTTCAGAGCAGTGTCCTGGCTCCACGGGAGCTCTTTAAAGGTCATCTGCTCAAGGGATGTTGACCAAGCATCTGTCATGATTACTTTTTCATAAATCCTTCAAAGAGACATGTATTGCCTCTCTTCCCTCAACAACTCTTTCCTTTGGTGGGGATTTATAATTTATTGGTCTATGGTTGCTCTTGCACCAGCACCAACATTACTGAAGACTTAAAAAAAAAAAAAAAAAAAAAAAAACGCTAGCATTACCGGAGGGAAAAATACAGAATGAACAAAATTATGAACTGAGTGAATATGCATATTTTTTTGACGGGGAGTGTAAGCCAGCAGAAGACATGGCAGTTCTTTAAGCAACGTATATAACACAGCGTGGCCCAAATAGCACTTGATGAAATCGAGACACTCTTAACACTAAAACACCAGGTAAAATGTTTTAAAAATATAAAATACTGCTGTAATTGACTGATATCCTGATCCTCAATGTACAATCCGTTACTTAAACTAGAATTAAAGACATTTTAAAACAGGATTTGCTGTTTTATAATGTTTTAAATGACTTCCAGTTCATGGCTGTTGAAGGCAGGTTGGTAAATGGGTTGTTTCTCCCGTGTTCTTTTCCATCCTAAAATAAATCTGACGTGTAAGATCCGATCCGACACACGTTGAATCATCTAATACCTTAAATAAGGTGGGTGTAAAAGGTGATGTCAGGGTAAACTAAATATATATATATATATACAGGGAAAAATCTCCAGAAGACATAAATGCAAGATGAAATATAAACTTTAAAGTCGTGTTTTTGTTTTTTCCTCGCATTCTGGCCCGAGCATTTCGCGGTCTCGGTGCTCAATGGGTCCAAACGGTCCCGGTTCCGTCACGAACAAAAATGAGGAGCCAAAAGTCGAGCGGGAGGGGCGGGGGGAGCGACGCCCCTTCCGGCCGCTCGGCCTCCCGCCCTTGGGGGCCCTTGAGTGGCGTGCAGCTCCCCCAATGGGAGCCGCGARCAGCGCTGCCTTTGGGCGCATCGTCACGCGCGCGCCCCCGCTCGGCCAATCGGAAGCCGYCGTTAGTAGGTCAGCCAATCAGTGCCCGCTGCTAGCGCCCGCCCTGCGGCGTGCGGAGGGGGCTTGCGGGGCTGAGGCGAGCTGAGGCGAACGCCGCCATCATGATCCACAGCCTGTTCCTCATCAACGCGGCGGGCGACATCTTCCTGGAGAAGCACTGGAAGAGCGTCGTGAGCCGCTCCGTCTGCGACTACTTCTTCGAGGCGCAGGAGCGGGCCTCGGAGGCGGAGAACGTGCCGCCCGTGATCCCCACGCCGCACCACTACCTGCTCAGCGTCTACCGCCACAAGATCTTCTTCGTGGCCGTCATCCAGAGCGAGGTGCCGCCGCTCTTCGTCATCGAGTTCCTGCACCGCGTCGTGGACACCTTCCAGGTGCGCCCGCGCGCGCGGCAGGAGCGGCCCCCGGCCGGGGCTCTTCTGCAGAGGCCGCCAGGAGGGCCTGGCGCTGCGTTTTCTCCTCTTTGGTGACTCTAACCCCTCACCTGGGAGCATCTGCAGCGATTTTGTTTTTCCCCTAGAGAAGCGATTCGCAAAAGTCGCCTCAGGGCGACCACAGCTCTCTCTGTGTCATCCTGGCTCTCCGTGTTGCCTTGCCATGGCCACAGGGCAGTGCGGGGACACCCTGTTTGCTGTTATCAGCGTTGTGGAGCCTGGCCTTAGAGTCCCCTGTGACCAACAGCCTTCCAAAATGCAAGAAATATGGGCTTTGGTCAAAAAAAAGAAGAGCCTCATGTGACCTTTGCTTCCACGTGCCAGTCTGTCATGTGGATGTGGGTTCTGGGTGATTTCCCTGTGGTGCAGGGAGTGAATCGCCTCTTTCGTTTAATGCCACAGTTGAAATCCTGGGAGATGTTCTGTTTGCTTTTCTGTAGGTGAGACCCCCTCCTTTTCTTAGGYTGCTCTAAAGAGCTCACGCTTGCTGAGCTTTTGGGTTAAGCTTTTTTGAGTGAAATGAGGGGCTTTCGTTTTGTTTTCCTCCAGAAAGGTGCAGAGATTCCCTTTATTCAAGGGAACACAAAAACACTATGCACGGATTTGCACGAAATAGAAAACTTTAATCAGGAGGTGCTCARTCCCTTAAACAGCGATGCTGCACAGCTAAGGTATTGAAAATYCTATAGGTAAGACTAGGGCAGATGAGGATGTCTCTATGTTTAATCCTGGATTCTAACGGAAGGTAGCTGTATACGCAAGTCAGAGTAATGAGTGAAGGAAATAAGCTTTTTGTGTTAATACTGCTGCTTAATTGGTTGCACCTGAGCCGTTTTGTAAGAGCTTATTAAAAAAAAAACTTTAAAAAAGCTAGCTGTAAATGAGAGTCTTTTTTATAGAGAGAAAATAACATATGATGTGCTGATTTGACAGCTTAACAGGGTGGGATGTGATGGAAATGTGCTTAGAACTTAGTACGTGTCTGGTGGAGTGTTCAGCGTGTCCAGTGGGTTTCTGGATACATGGGTGTTATTTCTGCTCCTCCCAGTGGAGGCTTGCACTGTTCCTACGTAGCAGAAGAGTAAATGATCAGGAAGACTCTTATCTTCAGCTTCTAGAGGTTGTTGAGTAATTATTTCTTTTGCACAGGATTATTTTGGTATCTGTTCGGAGGTGATGATCAAGGACAATGTTGTGGTGGTTTATGAGGTGCTGGAGGAAATGCTGGACAAYGGCTTTCCATTGGCAACGGAATCTAATATTCTCAAGGAGCTGATAAAGCCTCCCACTATCCTGCGAACAGTTGTCAACACCATCACAGGTACAAGGGGAAAAAAATAAGCAGATAAGCTGGGGTCAAGGCGAGAATTTGTGTTGCCCGATAGCCTCTGAATTTCAGCACAGCTAGCTCTTSTGTGACAGTGCTCTGCTCTTAGACTTGTGCCACTGCTGTTTGCATCTCTTTAGGAAAAAAAAAATTGAATACAGAGGCTATTTTTATCCTTATAGCCACGATACGACTACCTGGCTGAATGGGATTTTGTTTTGTTTCTGCTTGTTGGTTTGAAGCAATTCCTTACCAAACTTTACTGGAATTAGTYGCTGCTTAGTTAGATGAGGCCAGGTGTGACTCCTGGAGCGCTGACTGTCATTTGTGGGTTTCTCTGATCACCTTTCYTTTCCTAGGAAGCACCAATGTGGGTGACCAGCTCCCCACTGGACAGCTCTCAGTGGTGCCTTGGAGACGTACTGGTGTGAAATACACCAACAATGAAGCTTACTTTGATGTGATTGAGGAGATAGATGCAATCATTGACAAATCAGGTATGGAAGTTGCTTCTGCCCAAGACTAACCCATTCTGATTGTGCTTGAAGAGATAAAGTTTGCCAAGGAGTTGGTTTCTCCTCAAATGAGGGAAGTTGTGTTCCTGTTCTTCCTCTGGGGTCTTGCCAAAGTGTAGGTGCTGTTTAGTCAGATATGTTAATGAAGCATCAAGAAATGGACTTTGTCCTTTTCCATTGACCATTCCTGAGATTTTTCTATGTAATTCTATATGGGGAAATTAGAAAGCGAATGGAAAATCTCTCTCCCGGGGCTATTCTCTTAGTTTCAGTGTTTCTTAATCTTGTTGGGATCTTTGAACATTGGTAATCAAAATTGATGTTGCTGATGATGGTGGTTATTTGTATGCATCTTTTTGAGAAATGATTAGCAGTGAAAAATATATTGAATGACCAACCTAAAGGTGTTAGCGTTCCTCCTTTCACCTTGCTATCTTTTTCATGTCCTGATAATCTAGTTCGGGTTCATATAACCTCCTTTGCTTATTTTTGCAGGATCCACAATTACTGCTGAAATCCAAGGGGTGATTGATGCTTGTGTCAAGCTGACTGGCATGCCAGACCTTACACTCTCCTTCATGGTAAAGCTGAAAAAAGAGGCATAATATACTGTGCTTTTACTCAGATATCTTTAACAGCTTTTCGCAAACCTGCTACTAGGATTTTTGTTTCACTGGAATAGTTTCCAGTTAATCAGAACCTAGGAAAGGACTGGCACTGGAAGCTCCTAGTGAACTTCAAAAAACTTTGAGCTGAAGGCTTTTATTTTGGGTGCTTGCAAGTACTGTTCACGTGATACTTTTCTGATGTAAAGTGCTGTTAGACATATCTGCTAAAAGGACTTCTTTCCCTGTGTTTTCATCAATGTAATTATTTGGCATGACTAAATTTGTTCAAATATGTTAGTGTTTTGAGTATAGTTATTGCGCAGACATGTCAACATGAAATAGCTTAACATACCTTCATGTATGCACCTTCAGCTGGGTAGAGGGCATTGAGTGGTATACAGTTCATGCCTGGAAGCTGAGGAGAATAGATTATTGTAAGTAATACTGCTTTGTTGAGCTTTGTGCCCTTCTCTTATTTCAGAACCCCCGCTTATTGGATGATGTCAGTTTTCATCCGTGTGTGCGTTTTAAGCGCTGGGAATCGGAGCGAATCCTCTCCTTCATTCCACCCGATGGGAATTTTCGCTTGCTYTCCTACCATGTCAGTGCTCAGAAGTGAGTGGTGAATTTAGTGCTGCAAATTCTAGAATTTTTGATAGTTTTCACTTTCCCTTTTTCAAAATGTCTGCTTTCTTCTTGTTAGGAGCAGTCATTTTGAATATTTTACCATCAATATGAAGACTGATACCAGATGAACAAATTAAGGCAGGGGATGAATTAGGCAGTAGGGAGTTACCATCCTGCTGATTTTCTATGCTTACAATTTTTTTTTCTTTTTTAAGAAAAGTGAGATAATTCTGTAATACAGTTGTTTTCTGACATGTCTTTTATTAGAACTATGGTTTTTTGCTACTTGTTTGCGTGTCCCCTCCTCCTTCCCCCTGGAACTTGGCTAACTAGTAGCAGTTTGGGTTATGGATGCTAAAACACTTTGTTAGGCTCTGTCATATGTATATCAAGTTGGTGAAGAGGAGTAAAAGAAATCCAATTTAAAGCCAACACAGGTACTGTTTGAAACTACTTGCTAGTTTGATTGTGATGTGCAGGAGGATTCTCTCTTGATCAAGTATTCTACAAGTATTCTACGTTCCTGTCATGGGAAATAGAAAATCAGGACACAGAAACCATGCTAAAAAGGTGTAATTAACAGTGAAATCAGCATAGTTTGACTCTCTCCTTTTGCAGGAGATGGTTGCGYGCTATTTTCGGTGCGGAACGTGGCTGCGTCAGGAAGAGTGAAGGGAAAGATTTGTAAGGATGCTCTTTTTTTTTACTTTGATTCCAGTCTTGTGGCAATTCCTGTCTACGTTAAACACAACATAAGCTTCCGTGATGGCAGCTCACTGGGACGCTTTGAGATCACCGTGGGACCCAAGCAGACCATGGGAAAGACGATAGAGGGAGTGATGGTCTCCAGCCAGATGCCGAAAGGTGTCTTGAACATGAGCCTCACCCCATCACAGGGAACACACGTCTTTGATCCAGTTACAAAGGTGAGAAGAATAAGTGAAAGGAGAATTTTTAACCTTTCAGCAGTATGATTTAGGGGGAGCCTCACAGAAATAGGGAGGGAGAACCAAGGAGGCAGAGASAGCTGCTCCTTCAATGTATACTGCTGGTGAAGCAGAGGACCCCAGACTCTTTTTGGAGAAAGAAAGGGCGCTGTGTATCCAATATAGAGGAGAAGATGCTGAGACTTTTTGCTTAGGGAAATGATAAACACTTTCATTGGAAGGCCAGCCCTCTCTAGAGGGTGTTACTACATTCCTGGGTTTCACTGCTGCATTTTCTGTTCCTTAAAGTTGCTCTCATGGGACGTTGGGAAAATAAACCCCCAGAAGCTGCCGAGCTTGAAAGGGACCATGAGTCTTCAAGGTGGGGCATCCAAACCTGATGAGAACCCCACCATTAATTTGCAGTTTAAAATTCAGCAGCTGGCTATATCTGGTAAGTGATGTGGGATGAAGATGTTGAGTGTTTTGTGCCGTGTCCATGTACTGATGAGCAAGTAGCTGAYGTAGCTGTGCATGCTGAAGCACGTTTTATCTGAAATGTGTTCGGAGAACCATATACAGATTTGTTTTTCTCTCTTGCTTTGTAAAACAACCTACCCATTTCCTCCTGAATTTCTTTCTTACTGATTGCTAAATAATTCTTAGGGTAGSGATGTGTTTGCAAAGAAGGCTGATGACCGCTTGCATTTGCCAGCTTTTCTCTATTGAATTTCCTGCTTGCTAAAACTTCCCTTATGCGTTTTGTGCCCCTAGCATGGTTTTCTGTTCCTTTATTTTGTGGGCTTACCTGCTTTGTAGCACCTCTGGGTCTCACACTGTATTTGTTTGCCTTTAGGACTGAAGGTGAATCGCTTGGACATGTATGGGGAGAAGTACAAGCCATTCAAGGGGATAAAATACATGACTAAAGCTGGCAAGTTCCAAGTCCGAACCTAGAGGCGCCTGGCAGTGGGGAAGAGCACTTTCCTCTTTCTCTTGCACCTAGCTGTTGGATGCAGCCTCTCCCCACCATCACGCATTCAGGGTTTCTCCCTTATCTCTACAAGCAGCTGCTGGAGAGCTAGTGCTTGGGATGCTGGGGAGCAGGAAAAAGCAGGGCTGCCCCCAAAACATCTYATCCCTAACCGCCTCCGGAATAGAGCGGTGACAGATGGGAGAGGTGTTGAGGTCCCTTGGGATTAGTGAGTCATATATGTAAGCCTGTATCACCTTCACCTTGCTGTCCTCAAGGAAATTCTAGGGATTTACTCCGTTTACATCTGTTCCTTACGTTTTTGTTGGCTTTTATTCCCTATGCAGCTGAYGCAAAGTTGAACTTCCTTACAGCTCACCTCGGTGTGATGGTGTGGCACTGGCTCCTCTCCCTCCCTGGGGGTTGGGAGAGCTAAAATTCTTGCAGGCAGAGCGCTCGGCTGKACGTTCTGCTACTAAGAGCCTGGAGAAGTGGAAAGGTAGATTGTGTGGGATACCTCAGAGGGAGGAAGRGAAGGAAGGCATGTCTGGAAATCTCAGAAATCCTCTTTGTTTAATAATTTAAGTATCTCTGGGGATAGACTGTAAACTCCTGAAAACCTTAATATGGTCTTCTGTGAAAAGCTAGCAGAAGCACAGATTATTTTGTAACGAATGGATGATGATCTTGGAATGCAATTCTGTGTCTCATTTTTGCTTGATATTTGGTGTGGGGTTTCTCATAGCTTCTTTCAGGGGGTCAGGGAAATGCCAGAAGCTGTAAAGAAACCCACATGGAATCAAAGCACTGATGGGAACAGAAGCTGAGGCAGCTGATCACAATCCCAGTAACTTGTCCAAACCTYTTCTGGCTTCTGCTTGCCTCTTAAGAATGAAGGTGATACTGCTGTTCTTCTGCTCACTGATGTCTTTATATGAGATAACTGTGTCCTGGTACCTGTGTGGTGGGTTTTTTTTTTGCTGTCCTACCTCATTCTCCTTCCTTTCTCAATCAGCTGCTATGCAGGTGAATTGTAGCCTACACTGGATTTTTCCCCAGGGCCCTCTCTTCTGTAGGAGATGCTGCTGCATCTGCTGCATCAGTCTGTGCTCTGTCTCTCTCTACAACATAAATACGAAATGAAGGACCTATCTGCTGTTCCATATTGTCTGTAATGTGCTCTTTGGCCACTAGATGCCAATGTGTTTATTTTTGTGGTAGCAGAACCTGTCCATAAGCTGCTGTGCATGAAACTACAGCATCTRTGAGGTGGCTGTGGAGCTCAGCATGTGTGGTTTGTGCTTGTGAACAGAACAGTGTGCTGGATACTACCCGTTCTGGTTTGCCTGTGATGGATATGTGCAGCAGGTGGGTGGCATCTCAATTCCATGATTGCAGATTCCAGTGCAGCTGCCACTGCAGGTGGCCTCTGTGCTGAGCATGTTTGGTGCAAATATTACCTTTGAGCAGGGCGTCAATAAACTTCATTTTGACCTGTCCCCTGTGTCATTTCAGTGATTTGTGTGGGATTTACAGGATGCACCGTTGGTATTCAAGGATCAAGGTAAATCCTGTCCACTGAACCTTGACTAGTGGCGCCGTACGGAGGCGAACATGGTTATGCAGTGGAAATTACAAGCCGGGGGATGCTTTTCTGTCTAGAAAAATTGAACTTATTTTCTTAAAATAATTCTTAATGTTCCCAGAAGCAATGCTGAACTCTTCCTAGCACTTCTTTGAAACTCTGTCTTTAGACATGTAGATGAACTGCTTTTGTTTACTAGGTAGGGATTGTAGTAGCAGGCTAAAGGCCGTGCTTTAATCATGAAGACAAACACCTCCCTGTCTTCCTTTTCCTCAAGTACTGATATTGTCCTTTGGCTTTTTTGATTTTTTTTTTTTAATAACTGTTTCTGCTTCAGAGATGACTGTTATTCGGTTTTGGAGGGCTCTATGTGCAAAAGGATGTCTGTCTCTCACGATAAAGCATATAAATATAACTTTATAAATCTCAATCTGAAAGGAATAACTGCAAATTCCYGTAGAATGGAAGGTGAAGCAGCACAGGAGGGAAGAGTAATGAGATAACTTGGTAGCACTCAATTTAAGGAATTTTGGAGGGAGATGTGAGGTGCAGCTGGGTACTTCACTTGCACTAAATGCAGATGCCTGCATGTAGGTTTTGAACGAGTTAGGGCACGGCCTTATCTGCTCTCTGAAAGCTGACRTGGGAGAGAGACTTAAGGATGTTCCTACTGAGGCAGGGAGGAGAGGGAGAGAATGCAGGGAATAAACAAGCAGATAACCGGGTAATACTTTCAAGATTACTCAAATATGCTAGAACTAGATGCCAGCAACTCTGAAGAAGTGAAATGCAAGATGTTAAAGTAAGTCTGAAGAGCATTAGATCTACTTACTGAACTGGGTTTTGGAAAATCTCCCAGATGAGGAATCTCTTAAAAAAACAGGGGAGTGAGAGGTGTGGCTTCTTTGCAGGCTGGTAGATAGGAAGATAYAAACCACTCCCTAGAAGATTTAAAGCTGATATTTACAGTCCTCATTTGAGGAAGTGCTGAGGATCCTTACCAAATCTCTAATTTATTTATTTATTTATTGTATAGACTTCTGTTTGAGTAAAGGCTCTTCTAGTAGATCATCTRAGAGCTTCTTACAGTTGTAAGAGCAAACACTTACATGCTTAATTTTCCAAAATAGATCGGCTTTGCAGCTAACATGACTCATACCGTAGCTAAATCCCTTTTGAAGCCTTAATGTCCGCTCTTCCCTTTGGAAAAGAGTAGTCCTGCCTGCTGCTTCTCACTTTCTTAAATAATGGAACAAGAGAGAAGACCTTTTACAGGAGGCCTAACTCTTAGTCTAAATACCCCTCAGCATTGTGTTGCAGTTGCCCTGCAAGTCAAAATTGTTTGTTTGGTGTTAATTATTGAAATCCTGGTTAATTATCCTGAGTCCTSCTAAGGATAAATCCAGCTGAGTATAATTCGCCTTGATCTTTAGTTGTGCATGTTAATCTAGCAGGCCTGAGCCTGCTCTCATGGCCCTGGCCATTTGTTCTGCCCTGTAGATAATAACCAAAGTAGAACGGCTTAGCACCAAGTTTGATCCAGATTGGAACATCTTCCATATTTACAGCCAAAGAGGAAATGACACTTTTATTAACAAATCCAGTGATGTATTAAGAAAACTACARATCTAAAGTGTAGATTTATTTTTATGTTTGGGTGGACAAGTTTAGGCTTGTCAGTTCTTGCAGTGGTAGAAGTTTTACTCTTCAAACAAGAAGGAAAAGAAAACCAAACAACAAGCACAGAAAACTTCAAATATCTGTGTAGTATAAAATCTTTCAATGTAAATAAATACATAAAACCCCTTTTTTCCCCCCCACAAAAGTGGCCTTGCAGTATGTTTATGAAATGGATAGTAGAAAAGTATGGTCCTTTTGCTGTGAGACCCAGATGGGAACAGCCCAAGCTAGAGAGGATTTGGGGAAAATTAATTTAAATAATAACCAATTCTTCGGGAAATAAGACCATTTCTGCCTTAGGGCCACGTTCTGGAAGACCCATGCCTGTGTGTGCTCCAAACACACTTCACGCTGTTCAAGTCTTGCCCCGTCTGCTCCGGAGAGGCAGAGGAGAAGAACTCCCCAAAGGGCTCCATGGGGACACGCGGCCAGGAGGCTCGGGCAAGTCCGTGCGTCGTCCTCAGGGTTTCATGTTGTCCTGAATCCAGTCGAGGTAACGGCTCACGTTGGTGTAAACGCCGGGCACGTCCTTGCGGCCGCAGCCGATTCCCCAGCTGATGATGCCGATGGCAAACATGCGCTCGTCCTTCATGCAGACCAGCGGCCCTCCGGAGTCACCCTGCAGGGAGGCAGCAGCTCTGTGAGCATCCCTGTTGCTTCCTTTCCTCACCAGCTCTAACGCTGCTCTAGCTTGCACCTACGCTGCCTAGATAAATATCGTACATGCTCTGCAGCAGGAGATAGCAGTTTGTAGTATACTTGAGAGCAGCACTTTTGTATTCTGATAGCAGAATTGAGCAGCACTTTTGTATTTTGCAGAATATTCAGTGCTCCCTTCAACATCAGGGCACACAACCAAAATGATCACTTTCCAACTGCCTGGTGCTCAGCTGTTAGGAAATTTAGCTGAGGTGTTGTTAGGAGCAACCAAAGAAATAGGCCCCTTTAAACTCTAAAAGTCCAGAATACTTTATATTGCTGTGAGTAATATGAAAGTATATTTATTAAAGAGCTGTTGAAACGGGAAGAATGTTAATCTTTAGATATTACAGTAGGACATGTGCCTTCCTGTTTCTCGTGTCACAGCTTGTTCAGTTCTTTGCTTTTCAATACAGCAGCACCCCCTTCCTCTTCAACGATCTCATGCTGTATGTTTTATGTGCTCACTAAGAGAGAATATTAGGAAACCCTGTTGAGGTGGAGTTTCCTACTTGCTTTGGTGGCATTTCCTATATTTGAGATTTTTGATCTGTATTGTCCTGGTTTGTTTTGGTTGTGTGTGACCTGTTTTCCCAGCTATAGGGAGTGGAAAGAGGAGAAAAAAATCAGAGAGAAGCCCTCAATGCTATTTTKTTGAACAGAAGTCCACTAGAACTTGCGTGTAGCCTAACATTGGGCTTCACTAATTTTATTCCCGAGTCTTTTTTGCTTGATTAACTTGACCTGTCAAGTCTAGAATTGGAAAATAAGAGACAAGCGGAATTGGCTTCACCTTGCAGGCATCATCCAGGTTCCTCGTGTCTCCGGCGCACAACATGTTGTCCGTAACTGTCCGGTTGTCTAGATGCTGCGTCGTGCAGCGCCCGGCTGGGAACAGTCTGACGTGACCCTCCTTCAAGTGCTCTGAGTAAAAGGGAGAAACTAGAAGGGAAATTAATGTATGCCTTTGAATTCTGCGCTTCAGCTTCTGTTTTCCTGCTGATGGGTTTGGGGAGAGGACACACAAGTAGCAGGGTGGGGATTGGGGTGAGGCGAAGGAAAGATAACTCGTATTTCCTTTCCAAAGGGTCTTTTTTAATCCAGGGAGGTACTGTTTGTTAATTGAGAACAACTCGAAATCCAGTTGCAAGAGAGCATTGCTCCTTAAACTTAGCCCCATGGTTAAAAACAGCACCAGCTTAAGTGTTTCAGAGGCTTTTGCAGCCTGCGAATTAAAGACTAGTGGGTTCCTCAGCTGGAGAGCACTTTGCACCGTTGGAGCAATCAAAATAAAATCACAAGAAATGCCTTGGAAAACTCAGAAACTGTATGAAAAGGGTACTTTCTACTAGACTTACTCTAACAAAGCCAGACTTTCTGGGTATACCAAAGTCTCATGGTATACAAGACTTTGTAACTGGACAGGAATGCGGTTTTGTGCTGTGCTGGACTGGACTGGACTGGCTTTTTGGAGGGTGGGGGAAGCTCGGCTTTATTTTGCCGTGCAGCTGCACAAAGCCGAAAGTTGGCAGGCTTGTTGTTTTTAATGTCTGCTTTTGGATTCTAATTTGCAGCATCCTTCCCCTCGCAGATAGTTTATCACGTGTTCCCAGGAAGGACTGCTGAAGATGAGCTACTCGCAATACTTTAAAAGCAGTCTTTGCTATTTTTAATGTTAAATCTTTGAGGCTATTCCAAAAACTCGAAAGGAGTTCAAGTCATGTTTAGATCTCTGTTTTACAATGGATGCTTCACAAGCAAAGTCCTTGCCTCAAGGAGTTTACAATTTAAAGAGGATAAAAATAAATTGGGAGAATGTGGCAGTGCTTTCTTCTTTGTATAGGTTGACCTGGGTGTACTTTCAAACTTTTTTTTTCCCATATTTGTTGCTTAGCTATTTATTAACTCATTTAATAAGCAGCTTGGCCTCTTTCTATATAATTGGGATGGCTACTTCTTCAGCTTTTCTTTACTAATTACTGCACAGCTTATGAATCTTTTATAATAAGGCAACAATCTGCAATTGTGTAGTATAGGAAACCGTGGCAAAATGGATTTCCAGCAGAACGACAAAACCTAAACTTTTCACAGCAAAAATATGCTTCACATCCAGTGCATCTCCTGCAGTCTTTCCACTGTTGGAGAGTGTCGAGGAAACTCTGCCAGCCCATGCAGATACGTGAAATAACTTAGAGAAAAAAAAGCTTTTGTGGATGTTCCTTTTGCAGTGCTCACTGAAATCCATACAGTATTTCAAGGGTCACGCATTTGGCAACACTAGAGGCAGAAATTATTGAGCGGAGGGGTAAACTTTGGATAAATTGCATCTCGTACTCACATTCCTCATCTTTGCCATAACCAGAGATCTCGCATTCGGTCCAGTCGGGCAGCTGCAGGTCCGGCGTGGGCAGGCAGGCGGCCCGCACGATATTCGTCTCGACAGCGCATTGCTCCGAGTCCGACTTCAGCTGCAGCAGAGCTGAAGAGTCAAAGAAAGTCCCCTGCTTGAACAACAAGCTTGAGCCAACCGTAACCCTCCCAGTCATCAGGTCAGGTGAATTCTTACCGATATCATTGTCCAAGTTTTCCGAGTCAAATTTTGGGTGCTTGGTGTATCTCTTCACTTCAAATTTTTGTTCGTTCTCCTCAGGAGTTGCTCGAGAATTCCTGCCCAGCACAATCTTCAGCTGACTTGCACTGAAGCTGAGGAACAAAAGAGGTCAATGTTCTTCCCACACTGGAGTGAATCCTTCCCCTGCAGGTGCTGTTGGAGCTTGAGCTTCACTTCCCTTATTTTGGCACTCTTAACTACCAGACAGATCGACCTTGGGTGTCTTAGTTGCCTTGATTGGGGGACTAATTGCTTACAGCAATCAAGGCAGAGCTCCTCTATCAAACCCTTCCTGCTCTCAAGTTGCAGACAGCTCTGCACTCTGTGCTGCCTTGTGCACTTTGCTGTCCTGCTGAGGTATGACAACGCCACACAGCTCGTTTTTCCAGTAAAYGCCTAGATGCAACATTCATCACACTTGCTTATCCTTTTACTACAATAGTCTAAACGTATCCTCCAAGCCTCATCCTTCCCCTGCGGCTGCGCTGGACGCTTCCATTCTCCCSCTCTTTCTCCTGCTTTTCCCGCAGGCTTCGGAACTCACCCTTCCTCAAAGCAGTGAGCGGCCGACAAAACCCAGCAGGAGCCGACGAGGATTCCCCCGCAGAGGAAGCGCTCGCCGGGCGCGCGGCGGTTCCGCGCCAGCACGGCCGCCTGCCAGGGGTGAGCGGYGATGTCGGCGCGGGAGCCGCCTCGGAGCCGGTACCGGCGGGCGCTGCGCTCCCTCAAGCCGCAGGTGGCTGTGGACGACAAACCCCAAGGGGGCTCTGGGTTTGGCCCTTCTTGCGCTGCCTTTGCGTGGAAAGGCTGAGTGCTGAGTAAGCCTGGCATGAGCTTCCCAGGATCAGCCTCAGTTCCTAGGAAACTAGTACTGGATTCTGCAAACCACAGCAAGGGAGCCCTGCCTTTTCTCTCCATTGCCAATTCTGTAGTCATCTTTGTTGGCAGARAGAAAGGCACTTCTGTGAGAGCCAAACCACAGAATCCCTTTCTAACCCCAAGAAGTCTTTTTTCCAGTCCTTATTTTTCTGAAAGAGGCTTGAGCTGGACATGCAGGACATGCGGAGCAGTAGCCCCTCAAGGAAAGGGGCAAGCAGGAGCGCTAGGTTTCTTACAGCAAGTAGGCACGTTGCAGAACTCCCAGGTGAGCTGGTTCCCTTTCAGCACGTGGCACCAAGGCTTGCTGTCATTGTCAGGATTCCTGCAGCACAGGAACAAGAAAAGCTAGTTGCTTTAGCAGCTCTGGGGAGACGGAGACACCCAAATAAAGCGCAGATGGAGACCGAATGCACCGTTTTKTGATCTTCCTGGAAATGGGCACTAGCAACATGTGGAATTTGCATCTATGGCATCTGATGGTAGAGAGAAACATAGATGCTCATCTTCGTTCCACTTGCCCTCTTGGCACTGAGCTTCGTTCCCAGCAGTGCTGCATCTCCTGCGCTTCAGTAATTCATATAAAAAGCCAGAACTCTGATTCAAGAGTACCTCAGTGAACTCTATACATATATATATACATACAACATATATATAATTCATACCATAACTGCCTACGTACCGACAGAAATTGTGACTACCAAGGCCCAGCTGGTAGGCATCTCTCCTCCAAGCAGTGTACAATTTATTGGCAAGGATTCGAGAATTCCACCTCAAACAGGTAGCTCCAGAGCTGGTGACGCTGTGGCTGCCTCTGTAATCCGTGCCTCTTCCAGCTTTGCAGTTGATGTTCCCAACTTCAATAAGAAAGTTGCATGTTAATGGATAAAACRCGGTGGCCTTATTGTAATTTTTGGCAAGACAACTCTAGATCGGCTATTCTTATTTCTGTCTCTGCATCATGAATGTTAAAAACAGTTGTTTAACATTTTCCATTGATAGCAACAGATGAAGTCCATAGAGAATTCTTAAAAATGCAGTGAATGGGGGAGCCTCTACCATCCTTTCCCTGTCTCCCTGCACCTACCTTTGGAACAGGAGGGCACAGTGCAATATTCCCAGCTGTACTTTCCCCCTTTGTAGACGTAGCACCAAGGTTTGGCGTCCTCATCTGGATTTCTGCAAGAGTTATAGGGGTTGATGTTACCCTAAAGCCTGTGGTGTTAGTTCCAGGGGTGCCGTCTCCTTCCATAGCTTGGTCTTGCTGTGCAGGGGGAAGGTGGACTGAGCCATCAGCAATAACGTCCCTTCCTGTTTGAAGTGTGGAGTACAGGGAGACGGGGCTGAGCCAGGCAGGAGCGGGAAGGGAGAGCTCAGTTGCAGTGCAGTTTGTGTGGGAAGCAGTATATTTTAGAGAGTGTTTGGAGCATCTGGAGGAGGAGGCAGACTTGGAAAGACCCCGGGAGCTTCCAAAGGGAGTTTTAGGCACAGAGAAGCAGCAAGAGGCTGCAATTGCAGGTGCTTTTGGCGGTGCCCAGTGTCGGAGCAGCCTTTTCTGGGCCTTGTGCTCGCCCGTGGGACTGTCCTGGGCCACCAGTCGCTCACCTGCAGTAGTTGTGGTTGCCCAGGCCCAGCTCTGCAGCGTCCTCTCTTTGGCCGCTGAACTTCCACTCCCTCAATCCGTTCATGTTCCAGTTTAGGCATTGAGCCCCGCTCTTGGTCGTGCTCCATGTGCCCCTGTACGTTACTCCAGCGTCTTGGTAGCACTTCACTTCGGTGTCTGAACAGAAGGGAACAAAACATCACAAAAAGGCCATCATCCCAAACCCGGTTTCCCTTCTTCTGTTTAAAGCTAGCTCCTGGATGTCTCCTACAGTCACTGGAAACACCTTGTCTGACAGGTTGCAAACAAGCGCAAAGGCCTTCAGCTCCAAAATTCAAAATTTTAGCAAGAAACACCACCAACTGTGTAGAATTAAAGCATTCTCTGTAGAAATAGCTTCAGAACAGAAGCAGCTTCTAGGGATCTCTTCCTTCTAGGCCTTGGAGCCAAAGCCAGCAGCAGGTCACCTAGCAGGAGCTCGTATAGGATCTATATAGTCACCTGTTTCACACTGCTTCCCTGAGAAGCCTCGGCGGCACTGGCAGATGAAGAGCTGGGGGGAGTAATAGGCCTGTGAACACTGTCCTCCATTGAAGCATTTATTCCTAGGACACTCTGTGGAGCAGAGAAGCCAGGAAACACCGTTAGGCTGCACAGAAGCAACACGTGCATCCATCTCCTGACGGCTCTGCTCCGTTTTGTCCTGCCTGCTTGTTATTGCCCTGTGTTTACGGCCTTTTTAACGCAGCGYGTGCTCCATACTCACCTCTGATGGGCACGCTGTGGCAGCGACTCCAACCGCTGTCACACCTACAATATTCTATTCTGCTCCCCGAGAGCCTCAGCCAGGTGCCCCYGTGCTGGAAAATCTCTCCAGATGAGTGGTCTGTGCAAGTGGCTGTAATGGGAGACAGGGAAGCCTCTTTTAGAGATTCCTGGAACAGAAACGGCTGAGCAAAGGACGACATCTCCCTTTCCAGGAGAGCAGCAGCTGGGATAGGCCACTATCTGTGTACTGGGCCAGCTTTTTGTCTTGCCAGACCAGACCTGTCCCATCTGTGTTACTGCYGAGCTGCTAGATGCACAATTCTGTTATTCACCAGCTTCTTCAGCCTTTGAATTAAAGGGAGAGGGAAACTTCACTGTGTGAATGGTGGAAGGTGTTAATATTCCAGTGTTTTGTCTCCTTTGTTGCCCATGCTCAGGCCTCCCTGCATAACCACAGCAACCAGCCTGCAAGCTGCATTCCCTCCGCACCATCTGCTCTGCCCTGCTTCTGTCCCTAAAGCTCCAGGGAGAAGGACGGAGTTTTCCCAGCTTACCTCGAGACCTGGCTCCCCGTTTGAACCGCGTGCGGAAGCCCTGCGAGTAGAAAAGGGACATCCTGTGAGTAACTGCTCCTTGAGAAAACACGTGCCACCAAAAAGCCAGTCCTTTCCTTGATGTGCTGCAAATCAGGGGGCATCTGAGCAACTCTCTGCCCTTGCTATCAGCTGGCACAGTGGAAAGTGCCTGTTAGTGCTTCAGCAGGGGTACAAAGAACTGTAAATCATKACATTACCATAGCCTACCAGGTTACTACTTGCCCGCTGAGTGACATGAGCTTGGCAATGGAGGTGCTGACTGAAGTGATTATGTGCTCCTGGGGCACTCTAACTGCCAACTAAAGCTTGTCAGCTGTCCATTATTTGCAGGAGGTTTAAGCCGACAGRTTTAATTGCCCACTAACGAGGAGGTAGAAGGGAGCAAGCAGTTATTTTTGCCCAGCTGACAAGCAGCAAAGCAAAATTGCTTCTGATTTTTCCCAAGCAAGAGTCGTGTCGCTCCYTTGGCCTGTTACCTGGCACTGAGCGGTGCTGAATACTCCCAGCAGTAAGAGGAGACAGGAGAGTTTGCTTCCCATTCTCTGTGGTTTCCACATCACCCCCAAATCTCCAGTTCCTGTAGAGACAAAAGGAAAAAAGTGTTCACAGTGTGTGGGGAGTTGCAGGTTGAAATTAAGGTTTGGGCAGGTGAAGCTGTTAAATCCACTTTCCACTGCAGTTCTTAGTCGCTGCGGCTAGTGTTCCTGCTAAAGGTCTGTCTGCAGTGACAGTAGTTTGGATTTGCATTTAATGCACAGATTCCATCTCGGCCTATGAGCAAGGGCCTCCTATAGAGAGGATCTCATGGCCTTCTAATGACAGGAAAGAGGCTGTGATGGGGATGCATCAGGACGGCCYTGCTGTACATTTGGTTTTGAGTATTTCTCTATCTTCTCCCTGTTTGCCCTGGCTGAGCTTTTAATTTCTGCTGCTGTCATATGCTTTTGCTGGAAGTGAGAGCGTGATAGCTGGCTCGGCAAGCCAGCTTTTGGCCTGGCATGCTCATTTATCCGTTACAGCTTTTCTTCCCTTGTGTCACTTCGCCGCCGTCACGACTCCCTCTTGCTCCTTTTAATCCCTTCAGCAGCTCTGCCMTGTGGACAAAGCCTTTCTCCGTCTCACGTGAGGAGTTTTTGTTTCCTCCGCGCTCGTTTCCACAGCGTGTCTTGCAGCGCTGTCCTGGGAAGGAGCTCGCAGGCACCTCTCACCATCTGCTACGAAGCGGCTGCTGCTTAGGATCAGTCTGGATCTCTGCCTCCATTCCTCTCAGGCACTTTGAAAATCTTCCTCCTCAGATCCTGATTTCCTATCAGCTGAAGCTCCTGCTCTGACGTGGCTCACCACAGACAGCACTTGGGCACTGCGATCRCTCTGTAATTCGTCCTTCTGTAACAAAACGTATTCCTAGCTGCCTTTGCGTGGGCAATTCCTTGGCAGAAGCCCGAGTTTGGATCTTTGTAGTCACTGACTGCACCACCTTGTCCTCGGCTTTCCCTTCCCCCAGTTTTTCTGCTGACAAAAGGAGAAAAACAAGTGGTTTCTTTCACAGGAGCAAAGCAGCTTTGTGGAAGTGTGTGTTGCTTTAGGGCAGTTGCTAGGTAGGGAAAAATCTCAGCATGGCGGGGGGGGATTTCATAAGCCAGCTGCTTTTTTCAGGGGAAAAAAAAGTTTATGGCTGCGATTAAGCAACATATCTTTGCCCCCTAGTTGCACCAAAACACATTTCTATTCCTAATAACTGGGGAATAAAGCAGGAATGTAGGAGACCAAAGCTGTGAAGGGCTCTCTGAGGTGGCCTTGCTGCTGCTGCGGGTAAGGGGACTTTGTTACGAGCTCCTGGCTCTTCAACTCATCCTTGTAGGAAAATTCTCTTAAAAAAAATCTCTTTTGTCCTTTCTTTTATTCTGATGACCTTACAGTAACTGGAAAGGATCAGGAAAATGGAGGTATGTAAGAGAACTCCAGTAAACTCTGACTTATTATCTAATCTGATTTTTTTTATTGGACAATAACTTTATGGGGGGGGAGGTTGATTACACAGCAGTCAGAACCCCCATTGCAGCCAGTGTGGATAATAATTGAGTGTGATGTAGATCAGAACATCACTCTCTTGCACCAAGTTCAGCACCAAAAGGTGTATTTTTTCTTCTTCCTTTAAGGGCATTATTGCTATAGCTCCTACACACAGCAGGAGCTGGGAGTGAGGCAGAGAAATGGGCAAGGTAGTCTCATTGCTGCTTCAACTCTGTTTCCAGATCTTTGACATGATCTTCATATGGTCCTTGAGCAAGTAGAAAGCCAACCCAAGCCGTTATTTACTACTTTCAGAAACCAGGAGTTCAGGTCTATTTACATAAAGACAGAGAAGGCAGCTGGATAATAGCTTGGTAAACTGGAATGCAACAGATGAATTAGTCATAAGCTCAGATCCAAGACTAAAAAAGGGAGAGAGATTGAAGTGCCCTTTTTCTTTTCTAAGGGTTTTCTCGAAGATAAAGAAGTGACTTGAAATACAGACGCTCTTATTTTTGCTGCCCTGGTTCAGGCTGCCTGGTATTATGGTGCTAAGGCCCTTCCACACTCCTCCTCCTCCTCCTCCTCCTCCTGTCCTTTTGTGACTGCTCTCCTGTTCTGCGTGGAGAATTGCTAACACATATTAGCAGCTTTGCCTTTTTAGCCAGCTTTTTGGGAAAGGCAGGACCTATGCCAGTCAGCTGGAATGTTATGAATGATAAGCCCTATCAAACTGAAACCATACGGCTGTTTGGAAAAGACTGTGTTTACCAGCCTGCACGCGGGCTCCTGCTAGCAATGCTCTTTCTTGCAGAGCTCTGCTGTGCCTGCTGCGCTGCTCTTTTGCTTCCTCCCGACGGAGAAATAATCCAGCAAAAAGTCAGAGGCCCCAGTGGGTTATTTTGACACTTGGATTCTGCGTTCTCAGGTAGGTTAGGACATGATCCCCATATGATACCCTGAGCACATAATGAGTGATAGGCCTAATTCTCTTAGGATGCAAAATGAGCTGGAAGCTGCTTGTTTTAATGCGTGTTTCGACGTTCTGAGATGCCACACGTGGTGCAAGTATTGAGCAGCTAGCGTGGACTCAGCGCATGGAACATGGATGTGGAGCGTGCCGATGCGTTACCTCCACGGAAGCATCAGCGGCAGGGAGACCTTAAATCCCACATTTTACCTAGGAATCATTTTACCTTTAGCAACAGCCTTTCTGAGCAGCAAGGCTATGAGTGTATCTTAGAGGTGTGGAAAAGGACCTGGAAAAGCATTTTGTCAAGGTCACAAGAAAGTCATTGGAGAAGCAGCGACTACAAATGACTCCCCACTAAATTCCTTCCCTGCAGTGCCCCAGGTCTGTCCATTAGCGAGTGCTGCTTTGATCTGCATCTGCAGCACTGGTGTTTTTCCTCCTGATAAACCCCTCTCCTGGCAGATGGTCTCCGTCTTTTCCTGCCTTCTGAAGGGAGCAGATGGATATTCAGAGTCGTTGCTGTTTCCCTTTAAAGGGTGGCATGGGACAAACCTCCCTTTTTGGGAGAAAAGGAGTAAAAGGGATAGCAAGAGCTCAAAGTCCTTGGAGACACTGGAGGAAACAGCTACATCAAAGCCCCTCTTCCCTTTGGGAATCACTCTGGATGTTTCCTGTGGTTTTGGTTGCATGTGAAAAGAGTTTTCAGGGAGAGCTGCACAAGATCCGCCCTCCTCCTCGCTGTCCCTCCATGATCCTGGTTGGGAGCAGAAACGCGGAGCCCGATCTCCCTGGAAGCCAATAAATTCTCCTCTCACAGCCGGCTCTTTGGCTCCCCGCTCAGCATCGAGACATTTGTTTATTCCTGCTTTGATTTAAACTTTTCAGGGGGATTTCCTCCTCCCCAGCCCGGGGCTGGCTGGCTGCCCTTGCCCTGCAGGCTCCTGCTGAGACTCCCTTGGAGCAGCTCGCGACCCCAAGTCCTTTCGCGCACCGAAAGCTCAGCTAAACGCCGCTAAAGCACAACGGCAATTAATAAACAATCACGTTTATTAGTATTTAACGGTAATGCCACTGGTGTTGCAAGTGGGGAATGCAGGGGGTGAAGCAGGTGCGGAGCAGCACCTACCTTTGGCTCTGCGCTCYGCCGATGATTCCCTCCTACAGCCCAGGCCGGCTCAGTGCTTTCTGCATCCCAGTCCCCAAACGCCTCCTCTCCCGCTTAAAAACTCCGCTCGAGGGGGTGGAGACTAGAGAAGGCGGCAGGGCACAACTCTGTTATTTATTTATTTGACTTCTCCTTCCAGTGAAAGGGGAATGGGGAGGCCACGGTGGTGAGGGGAACCTAAGGACCTGTGTTGGGATGTGAGGAATAGCACGGTAAGGACCAAAGGGTTAAATATTGACCGGCCATCCTGGAAAACCACAGTCTCAGCGTGGTTTTGCAGGGGAGGAGGACGAACCCRGGGGTGGTGGACAAACCCAGATGGTGAATTTTAGATAGGAACTTGGGGCTGGGATACGATGGTATCAGTGATGTGACGGATACGGTAACAGATTTCTGGACCCATTCACTAGCCGCGAGTGTCCTGATTAGAATTTAGTGGAAGAAATACTGTGTGAGGGACTCCTGGTTCGGGAAATAATAGGTCCCGTGACAGATCTTTATCCAGGCTCCTGCTTCATCGTCGCCCTACCAAAATCCTTGGGGAATGCCTGTTTTGCATGATCCTTCCCGGAGTTACGGAGGGACCTGCGGGACGTCGGCAGCGCCCCGAGTCGGCAGCGCCCCCCCGCGGGCGCCCCGCGGCGCAGCAGCAGCAGCGCCCCCAGTTCACAGCGCCCCCCGCGGGCGCCCCGCGGCGCAGCAGCAGCAGCGCCCCCAGTTCACAGCGCCCCCCGCGGCGCAGCAGCAGCAGC